CGAATGATAGAAATGGATGATAGAACGAGAGATCAACCCGGTCTCTAGGTTCGGGACACCCGACAGGACGTTACAATTTATGACCCACTAACGGGCGTCATAGCGGGTGAGTTACAGGGGACCTCAGTGCTGTTCCTTATTCCGTCATTTTGCGGAGGAGCTCACCTCAGCTTTTGGTTCAACGTGTGTATCAAGCTGGCTGTTTCAGACTTGGGGGTCGAGTGCCCAGTGTCCAGTGTCCACGATTCGTTCATAACCTACCTAGTCATACCTAAGCAGCTAGAGACAACTCTCTTTTTGACCATATTTTTCTTCTTCCACTTCCCCCTGAAACTCTTCAATAGACGGTCTAAAGAATCAATCCTTGGAACCCCCAGTATTCTTGGCTGCACAGCCTCGTCTTCACGAGGGTCACTTTGACGATAACGGAAAGGACCCTGAACAGAAGTGCTACAAACATTACGTACCTACCAATTGCTCAGCCTCATGCCTTCGGTTGCTTGGTTACATGATTACAACCAAGTAGATAAATAGCACAGCCTAACGCTCCTTTACGCCCTATCTTGGAGCTCTTGTTACCTCTATCGTCACGTCAAGCTTCCTTCAATAACCTCCCGTTCTCTCGAGCCGGGGGAGTCCGGTTCGAGCCGACGAAACCTCATGCGCCGCCCCCAATCGCATCTGTCCCTCGCCCCGCGACGACGCCGGTGATTGACGCCTTTCTACTACTTCGAATCTCTTGCTTTTCCTACTACGAATTATATCCTTCTGCGAGACCTTGAACCTACGTTATCCTCCCTCGACGCAACCCCGCGCCCTCTCGACCCTTGAGAGAAATCGCAAACCATATCCTCGAAACCGAATCATGAGCAGCCTTGACTCAGTCGGGTCATTGCTTGCGGCCATTGCGGCTCTTTTATCCCAGGGATTGCGAATCCTCAGCTTGGCCGACAAGAGCCATTGGGGACCGGACGAGCACGAGCAAGTACACGCCCTTGCTTCTGCGTTGGATGAAGCCAAGAAGGATTTTCAAGAGTTGGCACCTTTGGTTAATGGACAGATATACTACGAGGCCGATCGAAAACGTACGTATTCCTCCTAGGCGGGCATTCTCGTTGGCTCGGGCTTCTACAAACTTTTGAGTGAGAGATCTATGTATTGACTTACTGGCCAGATGAATCCGTAGAGGAATTGAGAGCTCTCAAAGCTCAATTTACAGCTCATATAGAACAAATACGAGATTGGAGTCGCTCAGGTGGCCCGATCAACCCAATATGGGTTCGCGAAACACATACTTTACAGAGAAAATTACACAGAGCACAATGTCGAGCAGCACGTCGAATTTATAGCTCGGAAAAAGAAGGGTCAGCAAGATGTTTGGGAGCTTTCCTCGTTTACCGACAACAGCGGCAATGGACGTTAAATAAGACCGTGCCAGACGAAGCCGAGTATTCGGGAAGATATCGGGAAGAGCTGCGCCTATGCAATACTATTGGGTCGTTTAAGCGATTTGGCGATCGAAATATTGCCTTCGTTTGCGACTATTGTGATGGCCACATAGTATGGGAGGATATTGAGAATATGCCCTCAATACGGACGTTCCAAGAAGCCGCCGCGTCTCCGATTTTGACACTATCACCGACAGTTGATAACCCCCACTGGCAAGCAACAGCGTTCACATTGTCTGGGCACCAAGAGAAGCAAATTGTATTTGCGCCTGTAGCGATCGCAAATCATATGGCACCGCAGCCTCGGGATTGGCAGGCCGGTTTACTATGTCCATATTGCGAAGTGGAATCAACAGAACCTCAAGAGCAGTACGACGACGAGGACGCATATCGACCAGATCTGGGCTATGAAGACATGGAAGCGTTTCAGGAACATCTTGAATGGCAACATACAGTGACGGCGCCAACCTCTCAAGCACGGGCGGCTTCAGATAACTGCATAGTGATGTAGTCAATAGTAAGCGGTCGGTTTGGGACTTATCAACAAAAAATCGGGGTTTTCTTTGATGATTTTGGGTAGAGAAGATGGCATCTGGAGTTTGGAGTCTCAACGGTATGACCTCGGTGAGACAGCATGATCTAGGAGCAGCATTGAGGTTATGATTTAGCGAGCATTGCCAAAGCAGGCATGGATAGACGAATTGACTTGTTGTAAATCATCACATAAAGTACACAACACCAGTAGCACCCTTCTCTTAATGTAAAGATGCTACTTGGGTCTCATATACCCCTGAAATGTCGAATCATAGACTCCCAAATTGCAGACACTCCCAGAGTGCAGTACAAGTAGCCAGGCGTAGGCATTAGATGTATAAATAAAAACAGCTCGCTTGCATTTCTTAAAAGAACCGCCAATACAGGAAGAAGATGATGATGAACCCAAGAGCCGCAAAGGGTCCGTACTGCTTAAGAAGCAGCTCCCAGTTGATGCGCACAGCAGCTCGTCGATATTTTTTGCTATCATCTCGCAGCCTCGAGCTGATCTCTCCCATGCGCTCCAGACTATCTCCACGGTAGAGCAAATCCTCAATGTTCTTGGTCATTACCTTTGTCACATCGCGCAGCTCATCATTAAGTTTATCGAGGTTAGCCGAGGCTCGGGAATCAGCGTAGGTGGTCTTTGTCTTTGAGATGAAGGTGTCGAACTCCATGAAAGCGTAGGGTCGCAGAGCAGGCGAGTGGACCTGAGATGCTGGGTAGGTGGTTGTGAACTCGCGTGCGAGATCGGCTAGGTAGGTAAAGGCAAGCTTTCGAGGGTACGAGGGAGCGCAGATGGCGAGGAAGACGATGTCCGAGTCGATGAGGTAGTGCAGCGTGTGGTTGGGGGTCTCGATGGAGGCTTGGGATTCGGAATTGCGTGTGAGTTTGCGGAGGACTTGGCGCACGTTCTGCTTGGTCTCTGCGAGGGTGGACTCGGCCTGTCGAGAGGGATTGTAAGCATGAAGTTGTGGTAGAGCGGAGCTGTGGAGCGTACCTGTTCATCGTCGACTGAGGCACAGAGCATGAGGCCTTGTAGTGTGTTAGTGTATTTCCGTTATTGTAGAGGATGTTAACTTACCATCAAGCCTTGATATTTGCGTAGAGTAGATCATTGTAGTGGTTTGTGGTTAAAGAGTTGGGTAGCAGGAGAAAGTTGCGCCGGTTTAGAAGTGGTTTGTTTCTTTGGCTCGAAGACTTCCAGCTACCACTACGTGTCAAGAAAGGCAGGCGATAGAGGGATGACGCAAAAGGGGCACAAGACTGAGCCACGACAAGGACGGCCAAGGAATATGTTGAGCAGCGAATTTGAATCTCTTATAGTAGATTCTGTCAGCTTGACTTGCAATATCACAATTTGATCGTTTTGGCTTTTGGAGGATCTGTATGTATGATTGATGGTCAGTGGAGCTGGCGCATGTTAGAGGGAGCTTCGTGCTGATAAGATAACGAACCAACTTATCATTCCAGTTCAAGATGGTAATTTGTGATGGAAATTCACAAATATTTCTTATGTTTCATCAAGAAATACACTTATTTAGAGTCTTTTTGCTCAGTAAATTTTGTTACTCACTGCCTAGACCAAATACCCCTGCTATCTATCTGTATTGATAGGTAGCTTGAAGGTTGTTTAGAAACCTCCTGTAGACGCTAAAGCCAATCACCATGAACTTATAACAGTAAAGGTCAAAGGTCAAAGGTCGTAATGCGTCAATTCTATATGATAGAAGTCGTGTCCCATCTCTATATCTCATCCTCCTCCTCGTCAAAGTCATCTTCTCTGCCCATTTCGTAAAGAATTCTTCCTCCCTCTCCCGCGCCAATGTCCGTTTGCGCATCAAAATATGGCAACACAATGCCCTCTCGATCCTTTCGTTGCTTCTCTGTGAGCCCAAGATTGAATGTACTCTCGGGTTCCTCTTCTCCTTCGCCGGTCTCTCCACTATCCGTTGGTGCTGCAAACATGGGGTGGTCTGTAAGCAAGCACACCTTGCCGGGTTGAGGCGCTGTAACCGATCCCTTGGAGCTGAGAATAAACTTTTCTGAAACGGTTCTTCCACTTCGTCGTCGTAGTTCCATATGAATAACAACTCCATTGCTGTCCTCGTTCCGATCTCTGCCTTTCTCTCCAAGGCCGACGAGTACTCCCTCACGATCTTCGTTCAGACCCCATTCTGGCTCCTGAATGCTCCTGTTTCGAGCCTTCTGACGCTCAATCTCTTGGTACAGACTCGATAGTCTCAGGATAGTGGTAGCGAGGTGGCATAGCACAGTGAAAGGATGAGGTTCATACTCGCTGAACGACCTTGGTAGTACTATCGGTACATCATCATGGTATGTGGCGACGATAGAGACGGCTGGTGTGATGATGCTTGAAAGAAAGCTTGCTAGTGACTGAGGAGCCGCGGATGCCAGGGCGTTGAGTGAGTCGACAATCACAACGGCCCCTTGAGGTAGTTAGTGACGAGATAATCTCCTCAGATCATGACTCTGCTGGGCTTACTTTGAGTGGGCTTTCCCTTGTCCACCAGAGGGTTGAAAGCAGGATAATGGTTCAACAAGTCTTTGCGCACAGTTTGGAGATCTCTCCCCGCAGCTTTTATGAAAACATCTGCATCTTGTGGTTTCTTCAGTGTTACCAGCGACAGGAAGATGACTTGTGTCTTTGCAATCTGAGATTTTCAGGTTAGTCATACTGACTCTCATGTTTTGGAGGACGAATAATACCTTTGCTCTTAACACAAATTCGCTGAGGACTGGTCGCGCAGGTTGTTCGAGATTATCGATCACAAGAGTAAGAGGACTTGCACCATCACGAAGGTTGAGGAGTTTCTGTAAGAGCAGGAGACTGTGCGATCGAGCGTGGATATTCGACGTCGGCGCCATTGTATGTTAAGGCACGTCCGAGATTCGAATAAGCGCTCTATCAATAGTGGCTGGTCACGATAAATAAGTCGACTCGTACTTGTCCGCTTTGTCAGAATAGCGAATATAACTAGGTTGTTAAGGCAGAGGAGATAAAATATTCTAATCAGTGCCTGAATCTTGTTTGGGGTGGATGTTGCTAAAATTCAGTGGGTCACCCGTCTATCTGCCACTCCATCTCCCGCATTCATGATGAAGCACTATAACTTGCAACCTGAAGCCATGATAATGAAGTCAAAATAAAGCAAATTCCATCCAGCCTATAAACTTTCGGTGTAGTTCTATCATGGATGAATAATAACGCCCCAATTCATTATGTCGCTCTTTACCCGCGAATTCTATCCTCAAGCAAGCTCATCCTTTGTATCAACACCATCAATCTCCATCATCGAGCTCTTTCGCTGTGCAATAGCCACAACTATAGGTCCTTCTTGCGCCGGATCACATCTCTGAAGTTCGTCGACCTCAGAATCAAGATCAGGACCCTGCTTCTTCTCCGGTGTGCTGTTCTCCATATCGACGTCTTCTTTCTTGTCGCTCTCATTTTTCGCTGGCTCAGTGTCCTCCATCGTGACATCGCTTGCCTCCTTTGACACGACAAGTCCTCGCTTTGTCTTGATCTCTGGTGGTAGCTCAACATCCCATTCATCTTTGAACCTGTTGTGCAGAAATTCGTCGAAATCGCCCATTTTGCGTCTCTCATGAGCTGTCCAAGCATGCGCTAGCCATTCAGGGTCATGCCGGCCTTGCGCAATGTTTTCTGTGTAGGCAGCACAATCGTAACGGAAACTGTCGTCGTTCATGAGTGATGCAAAATCAGGACAGGCATCCTCCGTGCCAGCGCTGAGAATGTGCTGGGAATCAGGGAACAGCGCCAGGATTTCCGCCTTCTCTTCTTTGTCGAGAATATCCCAGGCCATCGGATTTGACAGTATGCTCTGTTTTCGTTAGTGATCTTATTAAGTTATGGAAATGGAGTGCCTTACTCTGAGATCAGCTGAAGCTAGAGGTGACTTAGGATCCGTCAGAATGTTATCCGCATTCCATTTCGACTTTCTCGATACTTTTTTCACGAGGACTCTCCTCTTGCCTTTGGCCGTCTTTTTAGGGGTCGTCGCTGGGGTGCTTTCTCGTCCATTGAGCGAAGTCAAAGGCGTATCTGGCGGTTGATCTGCCATCGTCGGGGTATCATCATCCTCATGGTCAGGGGCTGAAGAGAGGGGAGACGATGGCGGTGCGCTCTTCGGTGCTTCATTTGAGTCACCTCCGTTAACGCTGGCAGTTATCGTTTCCTCATGTTTGTCTGCCATAGCCGTGAGATGGCGAAGATGAATTGGTACAAGACAGCGCAATTTGAAGGAGAGCAGTGCCAGAAGAAAAACCTTGCACTTGACACCAGTCGCTAAATGGATCCGAATCGAGAAAAACTCAGAAGCGCCGAGCAAGCTTGGAAAAGAGGAAGAATGTGCTTCTAATAGAAATTTGATTGAAATACCTTTAAGTTGCCTATTGATGGCCTTTGAAGATTCAAGCTGAATGGCAAAGGTCTAGGGTAAGACCGCTCTGGTAGCTCCTGCATTCGTGCGCTCGCCTCTGCAGCAAGCTGACAAAGGCCTGTTACACCAAAGCCATTTGCTATCATATTTGTTGTTCTTTTCTCCTTTAATCTGAAAGAATCTGGCCTCTAAGGAGATGTTGGACCATCAAGTTTATATACCTCCGTTCTCGGCAGTCAATCGTCATACCAGCTCAGAACCCCCAAACTCTTGGGGTCGACCATCCCACGCTACATCCAACCCCTCACGGATCAACACGGAAACCCGGCCATGTACATAGAGCTTTGTCCCCGCTATGGACGGATAAAAGCGAAAGATAGAGGGAAAATGTGTGGTCTTGGAGCCGTAGGTGGCATGAGCTGTGGGTAAGCTAACAGCTCAGTTTCAATATATATCTCCTATTCATCCTTTGCTCCATCTCTATCACTCAGTGAATCTTGGCAGTTAACTTCAAGCTACACCGTTCAATAAAACAAAATGGCCCCTAATCAGCCTCTTTGTCTTGGATACAATGGGATACATCCCTTTTCCAAGGTTGAGATTAAGGATCGCTCATCTGTTCAAGAGCTCCTTCGCACTGTTCTTGATCCTCTAGAGCCATTCTTCTCTCCCCAAAAAGCCCGAGTCAAATGTCCCGGTGCAACAGCAGTACGATTCGACCAGACTGCTTCGGAAGTCGAAGGAATATGCCGCCCACTCTGGGGCTTGGCTGCTTTATTGGCAGGTGGTGGTGATTACGAAGGCAAGGAATGGTGGATTCAGGGTATCAAGTCAGGGACTGATCCAGAGAACCCCGAATATTGGGGTTATCCTCAGGACAATGACCAAAGAATGGTCGAGATGTGCCCCCTTGGTAGGTTCTTTCATACCAAGTCTCGTCATGATGGACAACTGACGATTTATTAGGCTGGGCGTTGGCTGTTGTCCCCGAGTTTTGGAGCAGCCTTTCTGACAAGGAGAAGAGCAATGTTGAGACATGGCTAGGAAACTCAATCAATGAGAAAAAGTCAGTTCTCAACAATGTACAAATGATTCACTGGCTAATCAGCTTGCAGTATGCCCAACACTAATTGGCTGTGGTTCCGTGTATTTGCCAACCTGGGGCTAAAGAAAAATGGCGGCAAGTTCTCCCAGGAAAGACTTGATAGTGACATTGAGCACCTCGACACCTTTTATCGCGGAGGAGGCTGGTCCAACGATGGACCAGAAGGCATTTATCGTGAGTTTGAGGTCGTCATCTCGGCCCTGACTGACACGCCCAGAAATGGACTATTACTCTTCAAGTTTTGCAATTCAGCTACTTCAGCTATTGTACGCCAAGTTAGCAGGGGAAGAGGACCCAAAGCGGGCAGAAGAATTCAAGAGGCGTGCACAACAGGTCGCCTTGGACTTAATCCATTACTTCGACGATGAAGGTAGAGCCATCCCTTACGGTCGAAGCGTAGGCTACCGTTTTGCCATGGTTTCTTTCTGGGGAGCGCTGGCCCATGCCGATGTTGAGTTGCCTGCACCGTTGACTTGGGGCATGGTGAAAGGAGTTGTACTTCGTCACTTGCGTTGGTGGCAGACCCAAGGTGATATTTGGACATCAAGTGGAACACTTTCGATTGGGTATTCGTACCCAAATATGTATGTAAGTATTGAGACTCCCTGACCATCGTGTCAGCGACAACTAACCAGAGTAGATGGCGGAGAACTATAACAGCCCTGGAAGCCCCGTAAGAGTCACGGAGATTGACAGTCTATGATAACTTCGCTAATAAGAACTCCTAGTACTGGGCATGCCTAGCATTTATGTGCCTGGCAACACCAGAAGATCACCCTTTCTGGACATCCGACGAGGAATCAGCCAGTGTTGTAATCCCTAGGGTTAAAGCCTTGAACCAACCGGGTCATATTATGAGGTAAATCCTACCTTATATGTACATTTATGTGAGACTGACGTTAGTGCAGTTACCTTGGCGGCCACTGCATGCTTCTGTCGTCAGGACAAGCTTGCAGCTACCCAATGAAAGGAACTCATGCCAAATACGGCGGGTTCGCCTACAGCAGTGCATACGGATATTCGGTACCCCCTGGTCTCTTCTCCCTGGAGCAGTATGCACTGGCATCGCAACTCGGGCTCTCGGATGATGGGGGTGAGTACTGGAAGACCCGAAGGCTTTGCGAGTATGCGGGGATCGAGAACCGTGAAGGCACCCCAGTTCTCGTCTCGATTTGGAAGCCGTTCCCAGATGTCACAATTCGCACCATCTTGATTCCTTCACAAGGAGAAACCCCCAACTGGCATCTTCGAGTTCATTATATCAAGAGTGGCCGTGAGGTCATGACGGCAGATGGCTCCTTTGCTATTTCCAATGTCAACTCAACTAATGGACGGTATCTTGGACCGTACGATGAAACAAAGCACGAAGGAACATCTCCTAAGATCATTGGCAATTACGATCTAAAGACGCCCGATGGTTGGGCAAGTGGAAAGTCGGGGGCTTTTGCAGTATCGAAAGGTGCTATTGGCATCAAAGCTTTGGAGCCGGCGGAAGGACGTCAGGCCATGCTGGTTAATGCGGATCCGAACTCGAACTTGGTTGAGAGCAGGAGCACAATTCCAACTCTGCAACATACTATCAAAGCTGGTGAATCGGTCTGGTATGTCTCTGCTATATATGCCAAGCCCTCGGGGGTTGGGGTGAAGAAAGAGAGCTATCTCGATGGATGGGCCAAAGCTCCTACCATCCCTGGCTGGTTAGAGGGAGAGATGAATGCTTAACCCCAAATGCTGGGGCAAGCAGTAAGCTTGAGTGGAAGGAATGAGACGGATGACACGGAATTTGAAAGATCCCATCAATCAAAGCATCATATTATCTTCTCCTCATCTGAAGTCCTGCTCCCCACTTCGTCTATGCCTTCTTTGCGGGGAGGGCCTGCAGCTTGTCCCAAATCTTGGCACAGGATGATTTCCGGAGTAGATTCGTCGGTCTTGGAAGCTTGGCTGTTGAGGCTGAGGTGATCACAATCGTTCATTTTCGACACGATATAACCTTAAAAGAAAGCTCCGCATTCGCCCATAGTTTAAGTTGCCTAGACTCATGTGCGATCCCCGCCGGAGAGACTCAATTCCACGTATCAAATCACAAAGACGATCACAACTCTCACCAACACCCATGTCATAATCAATCGACTTCAGCCGGCGGACGCCCCAGATGGAGAGCTATCAGTGGAGCTTCTCTCCACAACCCCAGGATCCACGCGGCAGTCTCTGTCACTCCCCCGCATGTTGGCGAGAATGATCTCAAGGACGCCCGCATGTGAGTTGTCAAGGCTCGGTGACATCTTGGAAGAATCTACAGTGCCCCCAAAGTTCGTCTCGGAATTCTTTCAGCGGCGTCTGGGCATTTCGCAACATTGGGGTACGTTGCTTCTTCCGCGCTTGATAGCGCAGCCACTTTTTGACGACAGGTGAAAGTCGATTCGTGGACTTTTTTATCCGCCGAGATCTGTAGACTAAGCGAACTAATTCATGCGCTTGTGGATATACGGTTATTCTGTTGTCTCGGGCTTTGGGCTGGTATACTCACTATATCGAGCCTCATGGACAGATGGTGTTTTGAACTTTGGGCGAGCATCGAAAGAGCTTGTATGGCTATTGCTTGTGCGAGTGCTGGCAATATCGATGCGAAACAGGATATTGACAAGGGTTGTGGTTTCATTTGGACGTGAGTTTGCGTCGTCTGTCTAGTCTGTGCCTCTAATTTGCACAGACAGGCACTGTATCAAACACTCCTCAACAACCTGTGCAATTGACATGGGGAGTTTCTATCTTACACCAATAAGGCCGATGCGCCGATATTGGGGGTGAGAGTCGTCTTGATGCGACCCCAGACTTGGCTGTCACTGGTCGTTGGACGATCAGTTTTGGGTGGTGGTGGTCTGGAGTGTCTAGGGGAGCTTGATAGCTCGTGTCGACTACAACACTGGACCTTAGCCGGACGATCATTTAATATCCTGCGAGCTCCCCTCGAGATTCAGATTTTCTCTTCAGAGACCACACCACAATCAATTATTGGTGCCTTTCGACCTTCGAGCTTGTCTTTTATATTTTGACAGCTCCACATCTTGTTTCGACTCAAAATCCGGGGAAACAAGCTTAAATTTAAAGCATACCCTCTATTGTTCTTAGCTTGGAGCCCACTCCATCGAATCTCAAAGATCCTCGGCTATCGCCACTCAACTACCCCCAATAGTTGTCTTCCATTACCGCAACCATGGGTCTCGCGGGCATCCTCAAGAAGGTCATTCGCAATGATGCGATGAAGACTGACCCCAAGGAGATTTACAACTGGCGTGTCTTCGCCATCGTCGCCGGCTCATGCTTCGGAGGCATGTTGTTCGGTTGGGACACTGGAGCTATCGGTGGTGTCCTCGCCATGAAGGCCACACAGGAGCGATTCAATTATACTCCTGAGGCCAAGGTTACGCTTGATCAGAACATTGTCTCCACCCTCCAGGCTGGTTGCTTCGCTGCTTGTTTCTTCACTTCGTACTTTACTGAGAAGTATGGTCGACGATGGTGTCTCGTTGCGACCGGTGTTGTCACCACTGTCGGTGTTATTCTTCAGGCTGCCTCCACTGCTAATGGTTCTCTTCCCCTCATGTACGTTGGTCGTTTTGTTGGTGGTCTGGGTGTTGGAGCTGCTTCGTCCTTGGTACCCCTTTACGTGTCTGAATGTGCCCCTCGAGCTATCCGTGGTGGTTTGACCTGTAAGTCCTTCTTCCACAAGTCTATGGGATTATCACTGACTCTAGATAGCCTTCTATCAACTTTTCATCGTCACTGGTGTCATGCTTTCTTTCTGGTAAGTCTCCGCTATTGATGTCGTTTTATGAAGCCAGCCTAACATAACATCAGGGTCAACTATGGCGCTCTTCTCCACCTCAAGGCTCCCACAGTCTATGCTCTGCCCCTTGCTCTCCAGGCCCTTCCTGCCGTGTAAGAAGCAACGTTGTGATACTAAAGAATATAGACTGACTAGTTCTAGCCTCCTGATCACCTGCATGCTGCTGGCCCCTGAAAGGTAAGACATATCGATTCCATCTACGAAGAAAGCATTTGCTAACAATGAACAGCCCTCGATGGTGTGCACGCAAGGATGACTGGGAACAGGCCAAGTCTATTCTTATTAGCCTTCGCATGTAAGTCAATTTGT